GAACCACCCGTCCAAACCAAGGGCCCATCGTGACACCGGCTGCAAAACCATTGCGAGGTCACAACGAACACATGGCGCCGGAAAATGCGCCATGCCAAATGCGCATGCGTCGAAGTATTGGGTCAGCTGAAGGTGCAGCTTTGCCGCCTGAAAGCTCCAAGGCTTTTGAAGGGAGGCGAGGGTGTTCAGCCTGAGCATGCGAGTCCAGCCACCCAGCCATAATCTTCTCAGGGCTGCTCCAGAGACTGAGCAAGAAGCTTTGTAAAGCAAAACACAAGGGGCCAACACCAAAGTTCAAGCCTTGCATGGTCATTGTTTTGAGGTTCGGAGCAAAACTGTATCTGGTTAAAAGGTCCTCTCTCCAAAAGGGGCAGCCAGGGTTTGCCTGCTGACCAGACCCCCGCGAGTGAAGGCAGAGAGTTTGCTTTTGGCCTTTTTTGCCACCACTTCCATGGTCCGATCTGGGTCGGCTGTGGTGGAAAATCAAGGGACCGCCTCACAGAGGGTTCCTTCGGCGTTGAACTTCTCGCAGACTCAAAACATCCCATCTGCTGCATGTTCGGTGCGATGCACTTGGTGAAACCAGGGTGTTGACGCAGCGTTGACAAGCAAGGCTAGTACGTCCCACTTGAACAAAGTTCAAGTGCTGCAGTAAATTGTCCAAAGCCGGGAGGCCAGCAATCGGGTCGACACACTTCTCAGCGCTCCCTTCTTAGCATCGTCCGCTGGTTCAGGTCGGCGCTTGCCTGAGCTGAGAGGCTGAGCAAAGGGCTGAGCCACTTTGAACACCATGGACATGCCATCTTGGGCTATGCGTCAAAATCGGGGCAACCCCAACATGGTGGGTATGATGTTGGTTTACTCCTTAACCACCCCCAAAAGGGTACTGCACACACACAAACACATGGCTGGGTCAGTCAAACATGAGGGACATTAAAATTGGGTGACGTCCTTTCTGTTTCCTCTGAAACCATCTAAACCCAGATTCCCGACCCATGTGTTGCATGTTCCAGTCTTGAGTGGCTCATTGCGTGGCTCATTTGCATGCGATCCTGTTGAAGGAATGATGGTGAATTGCGAGACGCAGGAAGCAGTCACTGATGCTTCCAACACTCGTCCAAACCGTTCATGGCATTGTCCTCTACATTCCTCTACAAATATCTGAACTGTCCGTGGCACCTCCCCACAAAAACAAAAACAAAAAGCATTAGTCATGCTAGGTGTGATGAGGCAATTTCATCTTTGAGAACAGCCCAGTCAAAGGAGGGTCTTCGGTTTTGAGGAACCTCTTCCATGGCACACCTATGACCCAGTCAAATTAATGAATAATTCCCTATCACAGAGAACGCTTTGGACTTTTATTTCCCCTGTTGCTTTCTTGTGATCATTCTTTTGGGGTGGATCTACACTAGGTCCTCCAATAGAGAGGTTAGAATGAGGGTACCCTTTTTTCTGCAATCTAGTAGGGGAACCCTCCCCCGAAAAAGGGCAAAAGGGCACTACTGCAAAACCTAGTACAGCTCAATCCGGCATTCCAACCAATCGCCTTCTACAAACCGCCTGATTTCTGTGCGCCTCTGCGCGCCGCAGGTCACGTGGTCGCCCTTTTGTAGCCCCTTTAAGCAGACCAAACGAGCGAACACCCAAGCGGCAGTGCAACCAACTCCCACGTGCCGGGTCTCATCACTCACACCAACTCCAGGAAAGGCAACGGCAGCCAGGGGCCTTCAACATGAGGCTGGGTAATAAACCCATTTGGCCGTGGGTCAACACAAACGGTACCATGGGGTAGGTAAATTCACCACCCATTTTAGAACCTATTTTAGTGGGGATTAGGCTCACTGGGGGTACGGGGTTTTGACCCATAGCCATTTAGACAAAAGGGCCAAAGGGAGCCACATGGCCACATGGTCCAAGCGACGGACACCAGGCGGGCTCTCTGAGAAAACCTGCTCGAGCAGTCCTTGGCTGGGTGTGACAGGGGGGCGTGTTCAAAAATGTGGCAAAAAAACTCTCTAAGCCCCTTCTTGGTCTCAAGTTTCAACAGCCGGGCAACAAGGCCACTTTTCAGCCTTGCAAGTCTCTCAAGATGAACACTTCACATTTCTAGTCCACGAGTCTATCACGTTGGAAAGGACTCCAGCAGTCAGCGTTCTGCGGATCGTAGTGACCCGCAAAGACAAGATTTGTTCGCTTGAGTATCATACAGCCCCTGTGACCCCGTGTCCTCTGCACAAGGTTTCTCACAAAAAGGGGAGTGCTGGTTGCAACACCTTCTCAGCAGATCTTCAAGAAATAAGCAGACATGGCTGTGGCTCAAATAAATGTACCAAATGGCTCCCTTGGCAAATGGAGCCAAAGAGTAAATCCTGCGTAACCCTAGCTCCTTAATTTTGAGCCACAGCCACATTGTCAAATTTCCCCAAAAGGGTTCCTTACCTTCCCGAAGTCTTGGGGGGGGAATGGGACCCGATGCAGGAAGCACTTCGTCCGAGTGGAATATACAAGCGGCTGCACCATCCACGGGCCCTCCAACTGTGAAGGCTGTGAGTGTGTCAAGTATCCAGTGCAAATGCAACCAAGTGGCGTTCTTGATTGTCGAAATATTGCCACAAGGATTGCGTCAACCTCAGGTATACGCGGGAAAACCAATCAGGAGGGATTGGGCGTACCCGTGTTGGCCGGTAGAGACAAGCCAGAGTGGAGGTTGCCGCTTCCCCGAAACAAAGCAGCAACTTGGTCATGCGACTTTGAGGCGAACCCAACCAGCTCGCAAAAAGGACCTACACCCAGGAGTTCTGTACAGGAATGCAAAGCCCACTTCCGGGTTTTAGTTCTTGTGGCAATCAACACACGCAATCCTTGACCCCAAGCTGCAAACGGTTTTGGGCAAGCCGCTGTGTGTTGTGCCTGCGCCAGGCTGCCCAGACTTCCATCTTCTCTTCCATCACCTTCTCAAAACTCGCGAGAGCGGCCCCAGGAATTGGGGGGCCTTTGGCCTCTTTAGGCGCCCAGTTTTCGTGAGCCCACACCACATGTGAAAGTTCGTTCAACTGAAATGGGCACAATCTGTCCCGCGTACCCGCCATGGGGCAAACAAGAAGACGACCAAGGGCATCACTTTGGGTATCTGTTCTGCCTTTGAATCCTCGGCATTCGAGGTTCATGTTGCAAAATAATACAGCCAGGAGCCTCTATCGCAACAGCTCTTGTTTGCCTCTCCATGGTTCGATACAAAAACTAGTATGTTGTAGCGTCTTTCCTCATCTGCTCTCGAGCGTTTTTTGGGGCTTCGATCAGCTTTATGTTCTGTCAAAGAAGCGAATTTGGGAAGAGTCGTCAGCGAAGCGAGCCCAACAACTGTGCAAAACCAGCGAAAATCGGCGCAACAAAAGTGCCACCGAGCGCAAATAAACACATGTTTCGGGGAATAGGTTCCACACGGGCATGCCTGCGGACGCCTCGAGCGAATTCTGTTGAACCGCACATTTATTTTAGAACAAGTTGTCCGAGCAGAAATCTTGAATAGCAAACAATGATGTTTCCATGATGGCCGCAGAAGTGGTGCCGCGCTACCAGTCAACCAGTGGTCGTCAAATGTCTGCAGGCTGGGTTGGTCTTTGACCCCTGTTTTTCCAGTGAGCGGGGAATTATATTGACATTGTCCAACCAGTTCCCCTCTTTCCAACATTCATGGAAGTGGACGCGGGGCCTTTCGAGAGAACTGTAGTCTTCCAAACGTTCTCAGCCAGCCATGCTGATTGTTGGCAGGAAGGTGTAAGGCATTGATATGCGTGACAGGCGTTCCATAGCATTCTGAACCACGGCACAGCCTGCAGTTTGCCGCTGCCCGAGAACGGGCGCTAGATCCGTCCCATGCGATGCCGGGACCACTAGCCAGAGTAGGTTGCTGCCTGTGAAAGGCCGGGAGCCCTATCAAGTTTCAGTTCTGTTTCACACATTTCCTACTCTACCCGTCCAAGTACCTCCTGAGGATGGCTTCTGCGGGGTAAAAAGGGGTCCAAGTTCCTCCTTAGAAGGTACTTGGACCCTCTGGGTACACCAAACTGCGAAAATATTGCAATCATCTATCCCACTAGTCAGGGACAGTCATGGTGGGCAAGCTTGAGTTACCCCTCAGTGTGTGTGCGTGTTCTAGTTTGTGCAACAGCATGGGCCGGTGCCCCTTTACCCGCATGCATTTGCCTGTGCGAAACGAAACCTTTCTGTTGAAACCAATGTTCATGTCATCGCAATCGGGGCATGGAAATGGTGCTGAGCCAAGGGATGCAGCGGCATGCCGGAGTCAATTCGGGCTGCTGATTTGTTCTTGCCCTCAGGAATACCTGTCATGAAACAAATTGAATGAATGGCGGGTCCCCAAGTTTAAGACAGGGATCGTTCACTCACTCACCCGAGCGTCGCACCAGTAGAAAGGACATACTCTAGATGGTCAGGAATCTGCTATGCTTAGTTCTCCAAGTATAAGGATCCCTGACATACCTCCAAACTACAGCCCGTGAATATGCCACACCCTGGTGAGTTGTGCAAAATTGCAGTGGCATCCAACTTGTTGCTCTCGTGCAGCTTAACACGAACCCCAAAAACAGCTCAATTGTGAAGGGGCACGTTTTGTGGATTCCACGCTAGTTCCCTGAGACGTTGACTGAGTTCTTCAAAACGGGTGGTATCCCTAACCCGAATTCGTAATCCCTAGACCTCACCACAAAAAGGACACCGCGATCAAAGTTGGTGTATTTAGCCACTGCAACCGGCAGAATTGTATACCCACCAGCAAACCAAACTGTCCACTACCGCTAGGGGTTAAATGAGGAACATACATCCGCACCATGGCTTGCCTCTGTTTGCTTAAGTTAAAGTTTCTGTGGGGAAACATTGTTGTTTCCAGCATAGTGCTAGATTCCCCTTAAACCAACAGGGGAAAATACGTCCCACTCCTCATTTCGGCCGACGGATCCACGCCCGTCCGCGTTACTTGCCTTGCGCGGGAAGATCCCGGGCCGCGGTCGGAAGGACTCCTTGGGGATGGTGGGAGGTACCTCGCGGCGGAGGCGGTAACGGGAAAATGCCGCGGGAGCGGAGCTGCACAGAAAAAGGCTGCCCCATGCAACCCATCCGGTGCGGGGTTCGTGGGTTTTCAGCATGACACCAACTTGTTTTGGTGCGGTCTCTGATGAGACAACTGCATACGGAGGCACAGCACAGGCTAAATAGATAAAATAGGCTGGAGTATGCAGGGGTCTCTCATTCAAGTGCTTCACTCCAGCTTGCATCGTTGATATGAACATGTGAGCCACACCATAATTCCGAGATCCTGAATAAATCACAGGTTCATTCAGTCTCATAGGCCATAGCCCATAGCCTTGCCTGCAGCATAGCAGTGAATGGAACTCCTCCCACTTGCCATCCTGGGAGCGAAACGTTACGCTCACGTCACTGAACCGCACCCCGAACCCACTGCCTTTTGCTGGTGGTTACAAAGGTGATTTGTACGCTTAACTGTAACCCAGGGAGTAAAAGCCTTGCCTCAAGTTGCAACCTGGACGTGTTTTTGCGCGTGGCTAAAGCCATGCTCAACGCGAGCTGCGCCGCTGGGGGCTCTGGGTACTGTTGAACCTGTCGACATGATTAAGTATGTGATCCTTCGTTGTTCTGACCAAAGAAACAACCAACAACAAAAAACACCACGTGTTCGTTTGTCGTACCCCCCCCCAAAAAAAAAACGTAACACGCAAAGCTAGAATCATTTGTACCCCAATGACTTGGGATGGCGTTCTTGGGTCAAAACTCTCAGCCACAAGAGGATGCCCATGAGGCGTCCCTTGTACCTCAGAGGTACAGCTGAGTAAAGTTCAGTTCTGGGAAAAGTCAGCCTGATGCAAAACAAACAGGTTTCGTCCACATGAGGTTGTAGTTTCATGGCTCTTCCGCATCCCGAACCCCAGAATTGTGCATCTGCATACGTTGACGGTAACCTGAGCAAAAGCAGTGAAACGGCTGGGTTTGGTTTGAGAAGCCGTGCCACGAGCTGTCTCCTGCTTCAAAGGGGGCCCTAGCATGCAAGTACAAGGAGTCCCCTGCTATACGACTCATCCATTTAAAAACTGTCACAGCCTGTAACTGAGATACGGGCTCTCCACAGGCTGTGCAAGATCAGCGACCACTGCCTTATTGCCACCGTTTGGCTGCCATGAGCCAAGAAAAGCGTGCATCCAGTCTGCAAGTTGCATCCCCGGAATTCAACATTAAGAAAGGTTGGGTAGACAAACAAAGGATTGGTCAGGAGTGAATGAAGGGCAGAACTACCCACTTTCCTCCCGAAAAGCGCGATCCCAGCCCCGAGGCGAAATCTGTCCAACTGGGCCCTTCTCTGCCCCTTGCGTGGCCATGCGAGAAAAAACATAAAACAGAATGCCTTGCCCTTTGATAGACCTCAAAGAGGCAACCTCTTCAAGGAAAAAAACACACAACAAAACCGGGATGCCACTGAGCTGGGACCCCAGGCTTCCATGGAGCCCCAAACCGCCTTGTTTTCGGGTCACGCGCGTATTTGACTCCACCGATTTACATGGGCGCCGTGGGTACCTGACAGAAAAGCTTGCCTGGCGCTCGAATGGGGAGGGGACGGGTTGGTGTATTTTTGCTGGGAGTCCTTGCCAATTTGACCTGTCATCCTGGTTTTGACTCTGTGCTCAGGGTCCAAAAGGTGTAACGGCTTTTTTCCCCAAGTTCGTAGCATGCATCTGCATCTAGAGGATTTGGGGTCCTTGTGAATTTTGTTGGGTAAACCTTGGGGTTCTGTCTCGAGTCCTTTTGCGAGGTCTTGGACTTTGAACCCAACACACGCTCCCTTTCGCATATATCTCTCTAGGGGTGGATTTCGCATTCTTTTCAACCATCGTTCTTTTCAGAAACCGGCTGATTGATGGTTTTCTGAGCAAAAAAACAAACTCCGTGGAAAGAATGGCTGAAAGCTGCCCCTATCTCGCATCCCAAACCCCAAGAAGGTGGGGGCGTAGCCATTGCAGCAAGGCGCCATGTAGCCATTGCAGCCCCGGCAAGCCAAGATGGATGCAGTGCCACCTGGCTGCGCTTCAATGGGGAGGGAACCCTCACAATGGGTGTGCTTCTGAAGGTAGCCATTTTTAAATGGTGGTGGTCTGTGGTTCTTTCTACTTCCCTTTGAAAGCATCAAACATTTTTTGGAGGGGTTTAAAGGGAAATAGAAAGCAACACCACCATTTTTGGGGTCCGCTATGTTGATACATACCTAAATAAGTGCTTTCTATTTGGCATAAGCACTAACCAGGGGTTCAAATGCCCAACATTAGCCCAAACCAATCCAAGCCAATGAAGATCAACCTCACAAAACGATTATGAGTCTTTAAGAGCCACCTTTGGGATTCCCAGTAGGCCAAATGCGCTGGGCAGAAAGGCTCAGCGGATTCGAGCACGGCTCCAACCTACCGCTTTTCAGTGCCCTGAGTCGGCAAATCCCCTCTTTCGGGAGCTCCTGAAGTTCTGAAGGCGAGTCTTCAAGGTTTGTTGCCTAAGAGCGCAACTACACCCTGGAACCTGGGATTAAGTTAAAAAGTGATCCTTTTGATCCTGACAAAACCAAAAAACCCCCCCCCCAAAAAAAAACGGACAACCAAACAACCAAACCAAACCAAACTATCCTTTAGGAGCAAACACAACAACCAAACCAAAAGGGAAACACCGGACCTATGTCGCCTCCGCCTCACATTCGCACTGTCCCCGGCGCCTAGCGCGTACCCGTAGTCGCTGTCGAAATCGGACGGCATAGAGCAGCGAGCCTGCGTCGACCCTCAAGGCCCACATGTGACGCGCCTTTTCGGGCACCAGTTTGTCTCCACAATCAATTGGGGGAAACCTGAAGATGGACAGGTGGCTGGTTCCCTTTAGATACTTCAAACCAACCCCAGTAACGGTACCCTTGGAAGGGTGCCCTTGTCCCACGCTCATACAAGTGCGGGTGCTGCAAACAATTGCGACATTCCTTATTGCTGGTTGGTATGTCTTGATCAGAAACAAGCGCTGGCTCGATGTCTGCCTGACGTCCACTGTTCTCAGCCCGTGATTGTGGCCTTTGGGGGGCGAAACAACCAGTGTGCGGGAAAATGACGTGTTGCGTGAGGCATCTGGATGTTGTAGGGGTTGATTCCCCATTCTTTTCAACCATCGTTCTTTTCGAAAACCAGCTGATTCCCTGGGTGTTTGGTTTCCTGAAAAGAAGCATCCCTGGATTTTGCTGCGCTGCGCCAGTTGTGACGTAGCATATGGACATCGCTTAGTTGCCAGGTGGAGGCGTTCCCAGGTCTCGGCGACGGATTGGCATTTCTA